CATTCCTTTTCGGTACTTTTTCAAAGTACACGGACATGAATGAGTCTACTCGACGAGACGAGGAATATTTTTCGCGTTTTTTTCGTGAGCGATTAACATACAATAGCGTATTATCCTTGGTATCATAACGGTATGCTTAACCATATGATGGTTAATCACGTCAAGTGGTGGGTAATCGGGTGCTAATTTGTGCGGGCCATTTGTTACGGAGGGGGATTGAGCATATGTTTATCGGTTTTTACAAAAGTATAGGAATCACTCTTCCTGTAATCATTCGCGATGCTATCTCTCTAGGATCATTTCACTCTGCTCGATAATTTCGTACGAGTTATACCTATGGTTATAATAGTGGCGAGAAAAATGTAATTGGTAATCATATATGTTGTGCCTTCCTATTATGTAACAATAATCTTTTAAATCAGAGCGTGAGAAACAAAACAGGCTTTGCGCGTTCCTTTCAATCTTCCAATATGTCATTAGATTTTATTAAACCGTACACATAGTTATATTTTCCGTCGCATTACATTTTTATACAATTTATCAATCGATAACCACGTGAATACTATCTAATTAACTAGCAGCGCATAATAAATAGGCCGCGTTGCATAGAATTATTTTATCTCAACCTCAGTGAAATCGAGCGCAACGGCCGAGGGGTTAAGCATGGCAACATCAATTCTTAACCTTTTAATACTATATCGTATCAAGATCGACCGGCTGGCTGGTAGCCCCGATACGGGATAACTATCCGCTCATCGTTCGGCGAAATAACATCTCGGCAAGCCACCTACGGCTCTTTCAACGTAGTCGAGACACGCACGAGAACAAATTAGGATCCACCGGTTGTTTGACAAATTTCGTCTAGCGCCGCGGGAGAGTATCCTCTAATATACCGATTATCTTTTTCTCTCTCTCTCTCTTTCTCCTTCTCCTTTGCTGCCGTGGGCCTTCCATCACGACGGGCCGTCTCGTTTCATCACCATGAGACCTAGTTGGTCTCGTAGCCACGTAGTCAGTGTTACGCTGCTCCCAGGTATTCGTTGCACGAATACACTCCTGGCCCTCCTCTGCTCGGATACAACCGCACTGCTCATCGTCTACGAATACATTCGCGCGAAACACGTTTGTACTGGAGCATGGAGAGTACCTACACACCATTCTTGCGGCGAGATAGGCGGTAGGACGAGAGCGGCCTACCACTCTCCGCGCAGAGAGGAAGGTACCGCTATCGCCCTCTGACCTCTCGAAGCGAGCGAACGAGGCCTCCTTCCACCGGCACCGGTAATTTTGCCTTCGATCCCGGCTTCCTGGTGCTACCCAGATCTAGATCATCGAAAATCCAAGTCCGACAACGTTCCGCGCGCGTCGTGACGTCTCCTTTTTACCCGCGAGCAATCGCGTCGCACGAGGATGCTCTCTTTCGAATTGACAGGTCGACATGTATCACTTAAGGTTAATTACGACGTTAATCCCTCACAGATTTTAATATATAATGTAGGTAATACTTTTTATTGTTTAGCAAATATCGTATTGCTTAATAAAAATTTTTTTTAAAACGAGAAAAGTTTTTCAAAATAAATAACATTCTGATATATATTTTTTTCGCCATTTATCAAAATATGTGAGTTTTATGTGTGTGTGCTGGAATTAATAAAAGTATGCATATAAAGCACGGATTTAAATGTTAACTAATAATATTACTTAACTAATAATTATCAATAATATGTATATGCAAATAAGTTAATCTAATAACGTAATTCAAATGATAGGAGTATCGAGAAAAGAAATTGAAATAATGAAACATCTATACTGTCCATGAAATACAATTATGTATATAAGGAATAAAACGATACTGAGATGGAGTTGAGCAGGATTCGCAGGCAGGCTTTTAAAGATATCTCACGAGGAAACGATAAGTTTCTTTCGACGTAAAGAATCCCTCGCAAATTACGGTTCGAAAAATTGCGATGCTGATACATTAACGATACATACAGAGCATAATTATAATTCCAATTAATGTAAACTGTAATGAAGCATGATTTTGATTGCCTAATATTTTTTTTCTTTATATGTTTTCTTTATATGTACTTTAAATTTTAAAGCAATATCATTCAGATAATTGTATTATAATCGTATATTAATGGAGAATGAACATATGCTAAAAATGTCGACAATTTCCTGATTATTATACCTTGAAATTGCAAGAATCTTGGGAAAAATAAATTTATCTGACTTGATATGTAAACATTATTTTAAAGGGATTCACAATCGGTCGTATTTTAACACGAGAAGCAAGGGTGTCGTGATGCAAAAATATATAGTTAGGTGAATTCGAAACGAGAAACGGTTCATCTAGCAGGAAATTATTCAAATTGCCGATGAACTTCGAGACTCCGGTAGAGTATGCTCTGATCTCCGCATGTATTGTAACGAGTATGTACAAGAGTAGAGTCGAGAGAGAGAAGCTACCTATTTACCTACGTACAGGGAGCCGAATAATTGGTGTATAACGTCGTGGGATCGTTTCGCGCACGATGAAGGTTTCTCTATGACGTTTATAAGCAGTGCGTCTACTTAGGAGCGGCAGAAAATAGGTATCGTAACGTATTTGGGTCATAATATGCGTGAGAGAGGAAAGGAGGGAAAATATCTACGCGAAGGCGTCTCATCCTGTCGCAAAGTGCATTCCACGCATCTTCTTAAATGCATCCTACAGTGACGTGCGAGGATAACGGTCATTGATGGAACCGGAAATGAGGGGTACCCGTTGCAGCGCGCTATCGTGGAAAGATTGTAGATTACAGTGATTAATCCTTAAGCGGACACGCGACACTTAATTTGATTACGGACTATTCTTCACGTACTGTTGCTATTGTTCAAGCCTGCACTCGTGAGTTTCTGGCGTAAATACATTATAAATTACGACAGCACGGCAGAGTGCTATGAGATCAATCTGAATACGCGTAATTATTGCGCATTGTTGGGTTTCTTAAAAATTCATTGTTTGCACAGTGTCTCATTTGAGATAATACCAGTGCATAGTCATTAATTAACATTTGCCGTAGCAGAAAACAACGTAATATTCATTCGGCGGTTGAACACGTTGTACGAAGAGTCAAAAACAGAACTCGAGAACTACTTTGAGAATACTTTACAGTACGAGCGCTTGAAGAAGGATCAGTTCCTTCCCGCATAAAGAATCCACGGCGAATTAACGTCCACTCGTTCGATCGTTATTTCCGGTCATTCGAATACCCTTGCGATTATTGCCGCGGACTCGAGGCAGTTCAGATTCCCAGGCGCGCTCTCGTAAAGAAACCACGAGCGAGTCGACGAGGAAGAAAGCGATCCTGACGGTCGGGTCGCACGATTAAAAGACGCTTCTTTGTCGAAGAGAAAAAGGTGGCTCGCAGGAAGCGAGAAGATTGTCACCGTTACGAGGCACGAGAGACAAAAGCAACGAGCGATATGTCGAGGATCTAAGATCGGGAGGGTATTGTGAATCTCTGGTCCTCGCGAACGGCAGATCGCGAGGAAAAAGGAAAAGGCGGCGCACGTGAGAGAGCACCCATTCGTTTTAATCGCTAATCACCAATTATCCGAGAAGCGTTCCGCTCCCAAAATCCGCACAAGCATTTTAACGAGCCGCCGTGTCACCCGGGTCCGGAATTTTACTTCGAGGCCTCGGCAGCTTCCACCGCGCACGGATATGTGTTCAGGATATATCTCTCATCCTGCTCCGTTGTCCATCCTGTTCGTCCCACTCGTCCGCCTATCTCGCTTCAGATGATTGTATGCGTGTGTGTGTGCGCGCGCGCGCACCCGTACCAATTAGTGCATACTTGGGCTCTCGCTGTTTCAGAGTCCTTCGAAATGCTGCTCGGTGCTGCTCCCATCGAAATGTACCCGAATAAATGTCCCGTCCCAAACGATCGAAAAATATCGTCGAATTGGAGGATTATTCATTGCATTCAGGGCGACAATTGATTCTCGAACGAATAGTTTCAGAAGAAAAAGCTTTATTTAGCTCAAAAAAAAAAGCTAAAATTATCGCACTCATATTTTTAATTGAATCTTGTAAAATAATAGACGGATTTTGAATCTATTTTTCTTTAATAAAATTTCGATTACTCTAGGTAACAACGTGCCATGTAAGAAAAGAGCCTGTCTTCTTTTTATTTTTTTTTTTTAAGTTCAAATTAACAAGATTCGGTCGTCATCAAAGCACTGGGAGCAGACAAATCGCGTGTTTCGCAGGTATATGCGTAGGCATTTCGTTCGTCGAATTACTCTTTTTAATGGGGAACACACAGAAAGTATGAATTTGCGAGGGTGTCGTATTTACCTCACAGGTTTCCGTAACGGTTCTAGCGGCGTCCCTCGGATATAAGTATATACCTGTGAGGGGAGGAGAGGAGGGGAAGGGGAAGCTAAGTAATAACCGCCAATGGAATTAGAAACGCCAAAGAGTCGCGCAGATAGTGGATGGGATGTACGTGACTGTAAGTTGATAATCTTTTTCTCTCTCGATGACGGTGCATACGTGCATATGCGGAAGTGGAAGAAACTGCGCGCGAGATGGTATTTAAAATCTATCCAGAGAACGCGTCGAGCGAACATTATTTTGTATGCGATGTCGATTGAATTAATCTTCTCCGATCGTTATCGCGCACGTTTCTCTCGGCAAAGTCCAATTTGTTCCGCGTATAAAATTCAGCGAAACGACCGGTCGGCAACGGACGACGTGAATAAAACCCGTACGATTCGAATTAATTACCATGTTGACAACCGAAATTCGACTGTTACTTTCCATCTGTCAACGAGCCGCCGCATTTTCGAACCTCCAAATTCTTGGCATAAAAATTCTACGTACAATATTTTTTTCGGTCATCAAAATTCTCGTTAGAAAATTCTTTCAAGTATTTAAATGAAAATATCAATGATCGAATCTATCTTAATGACATATACGATTTAATTCCCCGCGGAAAGTGCCTCGCGTCATGTCTTGCTTCGGCGGCTACAACGAGCAGATCTACTTAATCGAGATACTGATCGATAAATTGACGTTGACGCCCGTTAAAATCAAAGACATCGGCGAACATCCTATCGTGATTAAGATCATATTCTTAGATCTTCCCATGTTCGAGTTTACACGCGACTCGGACGCGTCGAAGCGCGATCAGGAGGACGTGCGTTTCACGATGGGCAAAGGCTGTCTGTTCATCAAACGACCGCGGGATCTCGTCCATGAACTTCGCTCGACGAAAGTGAGGATAGGCGTGTTTCGTGGGGACGATACTTATCCTACCGCGGAGACCAATTTAACCCTGCCGGGCTGCCTCTGCGATCAAATCGCCATGATCGATAACGATCCCGAAAATCAGCCAAAGCCGTTTACAGTAAAGGGTGGTTTTCATCTTCTCGATCCAGGCGAGGATCCATCCGGCACATTGTACATGGAACTTGTCATCGCGTGTCTCGGACGTGTTTCCAAAACGCAATACGAGTTACTTCCGAAATCTCTCGTTTCCGACAAACAAGACAAGGACCGGGAGATCTATGTGAAACGATTCGTACCGCCCGAGTTTCTCGAAAAGAAAATCTCCGAGGTAGAGATTAAAAAAGCTGTGAAACCACCGAAAATTAAAAAAAGAAAGAAAAGAGATAAAAAAGCTAAAAAGAAAAAAGGCAAAAAATGATCTCTATAAATTCTGAAGTGTTCTCTGCATTAGTCGAATAATTATTTTAGATTCGTCGCTATGGTAACCGTCTGACAATTGGAAACGTCACTTGATCGATTCGAGGATTAACGTGCACGCGGGGAGATTTCCGGCCCGAAACATTCGCAAAATTAATGGCGCGATTCGTACAAGTATATCATTAACGTCATTTCAGAGTCATCTTCCAAATTTATCGTATCGTCGACAACGCGCGTGTATCTATCAGTTTCTGTGCTCGTTCCACGCAAAATGGCCTTGAAGAAGAAGAAAATGTCAAAGTCGGAAAGAGAACAATTGTACATGCTTGAAATTCTCATAGACTGTTTAAATTTATATCCTGAGAAGATTATTAATAACGAAGAGCGCGATTTGATGATACGCGTAAGCTTCATCGATCTCACGTCTGTCGATATCGTTGCCGAAGAATTAACCGAGCTTAAAGGAAGCAAGAACAAAGAAAAACGATTCTCCGATGAGTACATCAACTACGAGGGTAAGACGTGTCTGTTCGTTCGAACGCCGAGCAATTTAATACGATCTATAAAATCGACTCCTCTGAGCGTCGAAGTGTATCGAATTCTTCGCGAAGAGCATCGTAACTCGCGAGATGACGCTGGTCAGGTTCTTGTCTGCGCGGCAATGGCATTTCTGCCGAGATATTTCTGCGATCGCATAGTCGCGGCCAAGAACGAGATAGACGGACCATCGAAGCCGTATACGTTGATGCAAGTTTACACTTTAACCGACGAGCAAGGTCAGCCCTGCGGATCTGTTTCAATGTATTTGAGACTGTCGTGTTTCGGAAGCTCAATTATCAATCATCTTACGCTTCATGAAAAGTCGTTTGTGTTTCGAGGATTTCCTCTCGGTTCGAAATTTCATTGCGAAAATTTCGAATTCTCCGATGAAAATATAAACGAAAAGAAGAATGGACAACGCGACGATGACGCGTTTTTATTATTGAGCAAGATTCTGGATTCCGCATATTCGAAATTGCACGACGAAAAAGATATAGATGCTCGTTTCGCGTTGACGAGACCAGAATCGCCGCCTCGTGTATCGATGAACCAACCGGGATTCGAAAAGCTAACGAGCGCTGAGAAACTAAACGACCGTAAATATCGGGGTTTGATTTATGAGATATATCCGGACGAGCCTACCTGTTCGTGTCTACCGACAAATCGATCGACGCACCCTATGATATGTCGTTCCGGATGCGTTCGCTCTTGTTGCATGGCTTTGAGAAATCCCGATAATCTCAAAAATCCATCGCTCGCTACGCTTACCGATTGCAACGACAATTTACATATGGAATCAGGTGCGGAAGAAGATGTAAATTGTCCCGACAATACGAGAATGAGAGGTGGCGACGATACAGACGATAATCATTTAAATAGCAATGCGTTATGGAATGAAGAGTGGTACAGACATAACAATTTTAAAAATCGTATGAAGGGCGGAAGCGACTACGGTGCGGCTTCCGAAACGACAACTAGCATCATATATAAAAAGAGTAAAAAAGCAGGCATTAACTCACCGTATAAGTCACGTCCAAGACCCACGGATGGAGCGAAGCCAGCAGCGGGTTGTGTTTGTCCAGGGAGGGATCTGTCATCTTGGAGAACGGGAACCTCGAAGTGCACGAAGAAACCTTGCGTGGGCGCAGATTGCATGATACGCGCCTTTAAGGAGGCTCAAGAATTCGTGGACTCCATTGGCAAGGTGCCAGGTCTGGTGGGCCTCGGCTTGATGGATCCATCCGAAAGTCCCTATTTCGGAAGAGACGTTGATAAAGATTATTCTGTCCAGAAAATACCAAGCGAGAGAAAACGAGCATCTCCCGATCCTTTCGCGACATTGCCGAATTTACAATGTACCGCTCCTTGTAACACGCAAATTAAACCCGTCATCAGCGCTCAAACCATCAAATCGCAAACTAAATCTTCTATATCTACCCTTCCCATAATGACAGCAGTCCCAGGACGCCCCGGTGTCGTTCGCGAAGCGATACCATCGTTACCGGCAGCAACGCTAGACCCGATCACCGTCAAGAAGAAAAAGGACAAGAAGGAGGACAAGAAGGAGGAAAAGCTGGAAAAGCAGAAAGAAAAAGAGCCGGACGTTGCGACGACCGCACCGTTGGATGTTGACGTCGGTCCCTGCGGCGAGCCAAAATGCAAATCTCGCCGAAAGAAACCCCGCGACGACCGGCCGACACCGCACGAAATCGTCGAAGAAACGCAAAAATCCTTGATACCGCCGAGCACCGTAAAGGACGTTAGTAAATTTATCAAAAGACGACCATATCCAAGAGGTAAAGCTCTACCTGGCCCGGATGGTGACCGCGACGTCGCGAGAGGTCCAATTAAAGTTAGCAAACGCGTGATGCGCCACATTTATTCAATCGGCGACGTTTATCCCGGGACTAATTACGGCCACAAGAACTGCATCGATCCGCGAATGAGGATACCGGCCAACATGGGCTGGCTGTGGAACACGAGCATGATGGTGGGCCAGCTGAAGTATCCACGTATCGGTTGGAAACCGGGCGCCATCGGCCGTTACTTGAACGAATTGCTGAAGGCGGCTAAGGGCGCTTCCCTGCCGGAGGATAGTCGGTCGAGGTCGATACCCTCGCGGACCGGCCTGCGACGCAACAAGTTGTACAAGAGCCTGAGCCACATTTCGTCGAAGAAGGAGGAGGCCGAGGAGGAAGTGGAACCGCCGCCCACCTTGCACATCCACCGGAAGGACGGCACGTATTACGTAACGATGTATCCGATTAGGCAGGAGACCGGGGACGTGCCGCAGCTCGAGGAGCCGATGAAGCCGCTCCAGTTTAAGATAGTACGCAACAAGGACGACGTCTCCGTCGCGTCGAGTTCCACGGCGTCGGACATGGAGATCGAGTTCTCGCCACCGGCAGCAGTCAACAGGTACCGGAAGAAACCCGACGTGATTCACGTGGACACCCAGGTCAGGCAGCAGGAGATCCTGGACGCCTTCAAGTCACCGGTCGACGCACCCAAGAAGAAGGAAAAGAAGGGCAGGAAAGGAAAGAAGTAACTGTGAAATCATGCCGTTTCCCCTCTCCCCTCCCCCTCTCACCACGTTCGTTATCCTAGCATCGGATCGCGAAAGGAAAGCAGCCTTATCGGAGGTTTGTATCTCACCGAAAAATTTTAAGTACAGTGCACGCCAGGGCGACCGGTTAACGTTATATCGATCCTAATTTTATACGACGCGTTAAAACTCGATTATACGTACCCCATACTTTTCGCGGGCCCAATCAACTAATTGCGGAAATAATTTACCGGGAAAAGATGAAGCGATTACACCCCTCGTAATTTAATATCTCGATGTATTAAAGTCATCGATGTTACATATTTTAAGACGGGAAGCGATATATATATATATATATATATATATATATATATATATATATATATATAATATCTGTATATATACATAATGTTTATCTCTAATCGCACATTTTTTCAAAACATATTGCGCAAAATTAATCCGTTATAAATCCCTCTAAAGAAATTTGAAAAAACGTCTCATATTCGCAATAACCTCAAATAGTTTATGCGTGATGCGTTCACTTCGATTAAACATTCAGATTCAGTACGTTGTATAATTATTGAATATATTATCATTAGAACTCACCAACGACGAAGTCCGTTGATTGAAGAAGACGTAGGAGCACACGAATTCCGCACAGTTTATCGAAACTTGAGTTAATCAAACCGGATATCACAAAAACTCCGTAGCACAAGATACCGCCGGAACTTTTCTTACTAAATTCAAATTCTCACGCTTGACGTCATGCGCGACATGCGCGACATCTGTCGTCTGTACTCGGCTCCACTTCACTTTCAATGTTATCGATAGGAGTTAATGAATCGGCGATAGTGTTGATGTTCGGTGTTATTTCGTGATATTTTGACAACAGGAATGAATGTCACGGCACAGGAAGAAAAGAATCAGGTTGTGCGTAGACGGATGCTCGATCTGCATGATGTCCACGTGGGAAAAGTACCGCATGATTCGCCCTGGTTGCGAAGTGTCCGTCTGCGATTCTTGCAAGACGGCCAACGTAAGGAGTGGGACGTGATAAGCATCCACGACAGCGTTTGTATAATTATCTTCAACATAAGTCGAAAGAAGCTCGTGTTTGTCAAGCAATTTCGGCCGGCTGTATATTACGCGTTTCTACCGAAGGAACAAAAGGATGTCGATGTCAAACGTTATCCCGCGACGCTCGGACTGGCCTTGGAACTCTGCGCTGGTATCGTGGACAAGGACAAGCCTCTCGTCGAAATAGCCAGGGAAGAATTAAGAGAGGAGTGCGGCTACGAAGCGCCCATTTCGGCCTTTGAGGAAATCACTACTTATTTGTAAGTTTTGTTATGCAACACTTACACTGTAGTCTAATTATTGCCCTTTATCTTTGTACAAAAAATATAGCAAGTTTAGAAACAATAATTTTTGGTATAATAAATTATAATAAATTATACATTTTTTGATATATTAAATTATATTTGTAATATAAAACTTTTTGATTTGTATATAATTACAATTTATCTTGATGAATAAATTGTATTCACGAAATACAGAAAATTAAAGAAATTCATTGTATTCTTTTTAGATCCAGCGCTTCTGCTAGTGCAAAGCAAACTCTTTTCTATGTAGAGGTCACAGATGATATGCATATACACCCTGGTAAGTTTGAATTGTAAATATTCTTTCTTAATCTTTCATCAGAGAATAATTTTATAAAGAATATTTTTCGGTAAACCATATTTCAACTGTACAAGTGATTTATTCTATTAAATTTTTCATGTTAAAGGCGGTGGTGCTGAATCTGAAGGTGAACTTATAGAAGTGGTAGAATTGAGCATTCCAGAACTAAAAGATTACATGAGATCCAAGGAAATACAGAGCCCCTCCAGCTTTCTCTTTGGTGTGACTTGGTTTCTATTTAATAAATCTGAATACTGTTCATAGATTAAAACTAAAGATCATTCCGCTGTTATCTAAAATAAAATAAAGCACTACCAATTAGTCACAAATAAAAAAATTAATTCTTAAAATTATACTTCTAAATTAATTACAAGTTACAATCAATATTGGTCAACCGCGTTTATTTACAAATAGAGCATTTATACACAAAGCAATTAAGGGATAGTTGCATAATTAGTTACGCAAAATTTTACAAGAACTGATATTCAATTAATATTCAGTTCATCTTTTGTAAATTGAGAGCTAACCCATGCAAGACCCCATTTTAAATTTGTTAGTAGGAATTTTAAGGCTTTAGTCCATTGTTCTTCTGAATTAAATTGTATTCTGAAAAAAAAGATTAAGAAATATTCAATAGAATGTATCTTAGATGATTTTCTAAAGTAAAGATTAAATCACTTATATATCAAGTGATTCAAGGTAGATGCTCACACATACTTGATGGAATATGAATTGCCTGTTGCAGAATCTTCAATTTTGCCACGATCCATTCTGTATGGCAGACAAAATCCACTGTCTCCTTTTTCCACTTGTTCCTTAAATTGTTGCAAACAATCCAGAAATGCCACCATAGCTGCATCGAATTTCGTATCCCATAAAAATTTGAATCCTCCGCTTCCATACAATGGAAGTTCTTTGTTTTGATCCAATGCCTCGATATAACTGTGATTGCCAAACGGCACTAAACGAAAACGTTTGAACGTTAAGTTCATTTTGCGCGCTAGAGCCACTAGCAGAAGAGTCGTTTGTCCCCACGCAGCATTTATTTCGCTCCAATCCACCGGTGCACTCGGTAATCGTCCTAATCGAAACGAATTTATGGTTCCAAAGTGACCCGAGTGCCAGATGTGAAATGTGGCGTTGAAAACATTTGTTTTTTTCAACCTTTCCAGTTGCGAAGCTGCATATGCCAGTTGATTGTCCAGACTGGAAAATATCCACAGTAAGTACAATAAAAATAAAAATTAATAACAAAATTATTTATTATATGTAAAAAAAAGGTAATTTGAGATTTTATTTACCTGCGACATTCATCTTCAGCTAACATGAGATCTCTTCTGTGTTTTGAATATTCTTTCCAATACCTATCTTCCTCGCTTTGCAATCTCTCTTTTTCTCTTTCTTGTTCCGCTATGGCATTTTTAGTAACTATCTCCTCTTTCCTCAGCGCTTCTAATTCTCTTATCATTCTTTCTTCCTCAGCCTTTATATCTTGCAATTCTTTTGTAAGATTCTCCATCTCTACATCTTCATGTCCTTGATATTGCTGTTCAATTTCTAGTTTTTTCAGGTACTGATTATAATCTGACCATTCTCCTTCTGTCATTCGTAATTGTTGATCCATTAATACCAAAAGATTATCGGTACATTCATCGCAAAGTGGATGATCTGCTGAGCTACTACTACTAAGAATATCGAATAATGTTGCTCGCACCTAGAAAATATTAATTGGATTATTTAACATATACAGATATCATTTAAAGAAAATGTAAAAAGTATTTCTTAAATTTTATTGTACCTTTAAATGATGACTTAAGCTTTCTGTTTCACCTGAATCGCCAACTAACATAAATCCATTTGTTCCATTTCCTGATTCAGTCAATCTGAATGGTGGAACTAAATGTTCTATACTATCACTTTGGGGTTCTAATTCTCCAACAACTTGCTGTTGTATAGGAACTAAAATAAAATAATAATTATGTAGCATTTGTTATTTTTCTACATTAAATAATCTTATTTTATATCAAATTTTCAATTATATATAATCAAAAAATATAAAAAATAACTAAAATAATATCTCTCTCATAGTTTAACATAAATTGCATCACTAAGAGACATTGCTCGATATTGTGCACCAAGCGGCAATACATGTATACATAATAATTTAGATATACTATCTCTGCAAAAGCCATATTGTTGACATATAGGGGCTAAATATATCCACTTAATAGAGTTTGTGCTTCTTATAGAATTGTTAATTGGATAAATTTAATTGGAAAAATCAAATTATTCACAATGATTTCGAAAACGCAAATTAATGCGCTATACGTTAATTGCAAATGATTAGTGTAACCATGCAAAAAAGCATTATGAATGCGAAAATAACGAGCAGGGCAATCGACTCGATGATGTACGTCGAGAATTGCCAGTAAAAAATAGAAATTACCTACGTGAGAGTTCGGCGAGAGTGTGTTCTCCAAGGTGATCGAAACTCGAATCTAATTTCAGGGGCTGTAGACATCGTTGACACGCGAAACTGACGTTTGTCTTTAAGTCTACCATTGTTGTCCGTCGCTTACCGAGGAGAGTTGCTCACTGTACAACCTGTCCGTTCGCGTCGTTATTTACGTATACAATGTATCTATCGTTGCCCGTGACGCTTGGGCTTGAGGTCAGCTGATGTTGTTTCACCAAGCGTCCGTCAGTTAGCGCTACTATCGCTCGGAGTAAAATGTCGTGTTTATTTTTTCTCGGCGTAAACAGATACGTTTGTGTATATTTTACGCGGAAATTATTACATATAAGGAATTTATATCGTGATGTATTGTAAATTCTTTATAGATATTGTTTATATTTCGCATTCTCTTTTTAAACATTGAAGAGTCGATTAATCTCATGTCTTCTTTTCTCCCGCCTTGCCTAGGGATTAATTCCTTGCAACACAGAAGCTTATCCACTGTCGATAACTCTATCGAATCGTTAGACATATTGCATAACTTATCGTATAGTTTATTGTGTAGTTGAAAAAAGATCTTTTGTTTAAATATTATTATTAATATAGATAAAGTGTGAGAGATAGCATTGACGAGAGACATATCTTTTATGATAATTGCGTAAGTCGAGATGTATGACGGGAATTCAACCGTCTTCGCGACTAGTGCAGCGCACTCATTTCGATAATCGCAATTGCAATTTGAAATCACCTAACTTCAAATCGTTAGTCATGACGTGTCGCGGCGACTTGTAGGGTCGCATTTCGATCGTTTCGTGCTTTTCGCGTTTATTATCGTCTAAAAATGGAATTTCGGGCGCTAAAACTAATCGCGAGTGTCTTGTGAAGTGTCGAGCGCTTATGATGCATCAAACACAATCATTTCTATCGCGCCATTATCGCGGTTGGACATCGATGTTCCGTATCTGTGAAATCGATCGAAATCCTCGGCGCCATATTGTAATCTTTTATGGCGTGATTTCTCTGCCGAAGGACAATGAAGATATAATTGATGCACCATCGTTCCTAAGTATGTGCATCGTCTCTCTAAAAGCTAATTATATATTCAGTTCATAATTCAAAGATAATTCCGATATTTCCAGGATCATAATATCGCTCTTTAAAAAATATCACTCTATAATATTTCGAATCGCAATCAGCGAAATCCGCCATGGTGGATTGTAAGATTGCCATTTTGTATTTCGCAATTTTTACTGTTAAATTTAATAATTCTCTCTCTCTCTCTCTCTCTCTCTCTCTCTCTCTCTCTCTCTCTCTCTCTCTCCCCCTCCCCCTCTCTTCTCCTCTCCTCTTCTCTCCTCTCTTCTTCTCTCCTCTCCTCTCCTCTCCTCTCCTCTCCTTTCCTCTCCTCTCCTCTCCTTCCTTCCTCTTTCTATTTTTGCTGTTTAAAAATGTGTGAGGAATTATTGTATCATAAAGTAGATACGTTTTTTTTTAAATATATAATTAATATTATATATGTCATGTTGCGACTGTAATATTGACAATCTATTTTTGTATGTCCAAAATCAATACTTTATGGAAAATATTATAAAATATTATCTAGTCATTTTTCCATTATTTATTTTTCATTTTACTTGATATTCATGAGTCTTTATCTAGATTTGTGTATCTCTTTAATAATCTTATCGATAACAGTTTATTAATTATAAGTCAACAATTGAAGAAAAAAAATACATTATTTAAAAATAATTTATAAATATTTGAATTTATTATATGTGTACGATTGTCAATAAAATTACATAGCTATAAATTTATATATATCATGTTTAGCAAAAAATATAAAATATTTTATACAATTAATTATTAATATACTTAATATATAATTTACAGGGAGCTGATAACTGCCAGAGCATCGGGCTGCTTTCGAATTACACAGAGGGTGCTAAGTGAGTTCCAATGAGATGCTGCACTCTAGTGGTGAAGATTTCACCTATAGCACTAATAAATCTCTGTTTCCAATTTATTTGATTTTTCTGTTTCTTCGATAGCCATTCCATGGCTTTCCCACATGAAAAAATCTTCTACATAAAAACTAAGTATTTAAAAAAAAATATTTTATATTAGAATTATATAGCCCTATAAGACTACAGACAATATTTTAGAGAGAGCTTGATAAGTTATATTGTAATTGTAAAATTTTATTAATTCCTTATAATCATTTATATATTATACACATTTTTTCTGCTTTTACACTTTATAGAAAAAATATATTTTTAAATAATATAGTTTTAAATAATATAATTTTCTAATTAAATTTAAAAACTTGTCTCATGTGGACTTAAAAAAGAAATATTTCGATATTTTACAGAGATTTGTTGGTGCTACTTTTTACACTCGATTTAAATTGCGATCTCACAATGTCGAGACATTTAACTTTAATTTTATCTGATGTACGAGAGAAAATTTTTTTCCAATAACAAAGAACACACGATCAAACTTTATATTTATATGACGGATGGTAGTCGTGCTGAGTATCATGTATTAGTTTATGCTATATATATAAATGTCTACGAGCGCGCGCATTTTAAGCGATATTCGTCACGTATGCATAAATATCGAATAGGGCTGCCAAGGATCAACAGGTGGCAGCTCGTTTCTGCTTCTTCGCTCGCGCGATATAACTTGAGTTTCTCGCGCATTCATCACCGGTACCCATTAGCTGGCGCGCAATAACAATCGACATTTTCCAAATATAACCGCGCGGAGCTTTCTAATAATGGTTACGACCCTCATCGCTTTCTTGTCTACCGCCCGTGAATTATTATGCGAGAGCTTTTTACCGGTGCGCTTTCTACCGCCTGAGAAGCGCGACGAATCGCCAACTCACA